GGCGAGATTTAATAGTCTGGTGATGATGATTATTAGCTGGCTCTTGATTAGAAAATTTAAGTTTATATGTGAAATAAATGTTTTGGACGCGTCGATAAAATATCACAACATATAAAAATAAATTTAATTGAAATTGAAAATTGAAAAAGACTGCATACATTAATATTACTTAATCATTAATTTCAGCTACTTTTTATTATATTATATTTCCTTTATTAATAAAAATCATGTATAGGATTTTATTAAAATTATGACTAGTTGTGTACCACCAATATGTTTATAAATAGCTGAGCACGTGCAATTCCATCTCAATTCACTTGAATGATTTTGGGGAATACGATGTTTCAAAGGTATGATTTTCGCCACACTTTACTTTATATACCTACCGTATCATCAAAATGGTTTACGAATGAGTGGTTAAGAACTTTTTCCTTGTCTCAGAGATCTCAATAAATCACGAATATAAAAATATTTGAAGAAAATTTAGAAATATGTTTTGTCTTAACATTCACATATTAAACTGTATTAGAAATCGCTGCGATTACTTCAAAATTGTGACCAAAGATGTCAGAGAATTATAATTAAAATTCCTTTGTAGCAATTAAATATCTTACGTCGTTTGCGCTGTAAAAAGAATAGATGAAGAAAGAAGAAAAAATATTTACCTACTACTGTTAAATACTATGCTACAAACAAATTTGCGGTACTACGTTTAAATACACTTGACACTTTAACTAGTTTATTTTCTGTTCTAAAAGTTCATAGAAACACCGGTGGCAACTATACATGTTATTCGTACCTTGCTAACATCTCACTCCGCTCGTTTATGATAGGCTCGGGTATATAGTTATGTACCTGTAGAGAACTTATTAATACACTAGCGGCCAGTTCCGGCTTCACACCGGTGTATTAAATACTGGAAACATAATGAAATATCCAAAATTAACAACAAATAAACAAAAGGAAACAACAGCTTTTCACTATACAATGCAAACATAATTTTACTAAAGTGACAAAGCCATTTCAATAACCAAAATATAGCTTAAAAAAGGTAAATTTAAAAAATCTAAAACTCGACTGCTTAAAAATAAAGTATTTTTAATTAAAACTGAAAAGAAAAATACAAGCCCAGTACTTATTCTATAATTCTGTTAGTAAGGAACAAATCCATTCACAGTCGGTTGTCCATTCTAGAATATCTTATGGGTTCCGACCACAGAACACAGAAAGACGACCTCTTTCTGTGTTCTGTGGTTCCGACTGTGAGTGTAGCTTTGTTCCTTACTAACAGAATTATAGAATAAGTACTGGACTTGTTTTTTTTTTATTTTCAGTTAATATTAAAAATACTTTATTTAAAAAAATTAAGCATTATGATTATTAATTTTTCCTTTTTTATTTCATGCTTTTTAGTTAGGATAATAAGACGTTATTAGAAATTATATGTGATGAAAAACAACAGATAACCGATTTGAGAAACTACAATTATTAAATACGGAAAGATTTGTAACGTTAAGATTATACGAATATACATAGGTGCGATCTCGTAAAAATGGTTTCAAAATCGGTTAAGTGGTTGAAAAATAGAATTTTAACCCTGGAGATCCCGTGTCCGTGGCATTAACAGAACAAAAGTTGTACTTATTGTTATACAATTTCAAAAATTTAAGATTACGTTTTGAAAATCAGTTTCGTGGTTTAAGAAACAGTATTTGACATCCGTAGTAGTCAGTCTCATTACTGTAGAATTGGCCTGGCATGGCTATCCTGATTTTTCAGCTTAGCAAAAAGTTTCTAAGTAAATAGGTTGAGTATATTAAAACTATTTGATCATGGGCATGGCCATCCTGATTTTAATGTTTGGCAAAGAGTTTCTTTAAGGCATATAGGTTGAATATCTTTTTATCCCAGAATTTTCAAGGGAACTGGAACTTCGCGGGTAAAACCGCGGGGCGCAACTAGTAATAACACATTAGAGCAAACCTGCTAAATATATAACTTGCTATCCTTATTTCTCGTCGTAGAAAAAAATATGATAAAAGTTTTTTTTAGTTTCAGTTTAGTTTATCTATTCCAAGTTTCAAAGCTGTCAAGCTAGCCAAACTCGTTTTCCCATATAAACTTTAAACCCCTATATCACCCAATTCACGGTGGAATATTTAAAAATCCTTTCTCGCTTGATGCCTACGTCATTTAAACAACCTATTTATTAAAAATCAGGTCTCTACGACTAAAAGTGTAGGGGTGCGTTGACACACTATTTAAAACCTCAAAATGCATATTTTTGTTTTATGAGGGTAGTTTTGAAAATTTAATTGGTGTGCAATATTTAAATCGAACCTATGCACTTTTGGAAGATCGCCCATACAAACATTGACACGATTTTTTAAAATTTTTGAGGGTAGTAGTAAAAAATATATATAACAGGCTTAGTGTTCATGTATTAAATAATGTTTATGCATAATTTGCAGTCAATAATAATAGTTCAAGGGATAAGATTCTCCAAACAAACTTTGTTTGCAAAATTCATGCTTAAGAGGCTGAATTAAAAAAAAAATCAACATTTTACTTGACTAGGCAATAAGAACCTACTGTCCAAATTTCATCATTCTAGGTCCAGTCGTTTCGGTTGTGCGTTGATGAGTCAGTCAGTTAGTCCGTCAGTGTATCCTTTTCTCTCTTTATATAATAGTACAGATACAAGATATCATGGGTGTAATAATGTTATTACGGGACACATTAATTGTAGCAACAAAAATCACTGGCCTTGCACCCTTGTTTGTACACAGCTGGCAACGATCTGCTTAACACAAGCTTAACACTATGATACCAATGGACAACAATGTCCTGTCCAGTTAAAATAATATTTGCCCCAACGATAGATAAATCCTAAGTACAAACTTTTTTCAAAGTTGACACCGATCTAAGAAAGAAGTATTTTCCCATGGGCCATTATTATTTTGGCCATTCTTTACTGTTGGGACTTCTACAAACAACTTAAATAAAAGAAAGATGCTACGCATTAATCATGTTCTTTTAATGTCATAGGAGTGTCAAATAATCTTCGGGCGCATATGGTGGTAAGCGACTATCATAGCCCAAATGAGTTTGGGATGCCAGAGTGTCGATTCTGGCATGATTATCTAAACTTTAAACTAAAGGACATGTGGTTTAAATTTGTATGGTGGGTGATAGTCAGTCTCCAGCAAATTCCAAATTTTTATGACATGCAGTGCACTTAATTGTAAATCGTGTGACAAAAAACTAAAATTTATTTTATCCGTTTATTTAAATAATTATTGTAATATAAAATTATGTAATTAATTATAGGCAAATGGCAAGTTTATTTATGTATTTTTTGTTGCCAAAGCATCAAATATATTCTGTTCAATAGGTAACTAAATGATTTTTCTATTATTCGGGGATCAATAAAAACATTAAAATTATTTGTTCATGTTATAATATAAAACAAGCTTTCGAATGATATATATTTCGTCGTTGCCGGAAACCGACTACCACTTTTAACCCGTCTTCTTTAACATCTCACCTTTTCATTCTGCAAAGAGAATGACGAGCATACACTGTCGTCAAATTTAATTTTAGGTTTAGAGAATCCTGCCAGAGTCGACACCAGCGTCAACCTAAAACCCTGGATGGTTTTGTTAATTCTACTCATAGGAGGACTAAATAATAGCGTTATTTGTCTGTAGTGGATAGTTGCTTTCTCGTTAAAATATGAGAGCTGGCAAACAAAACAGTACAATTACACATCTGATCAAAATACTTTTTTTTACAGTCCGGATGGTTTGGGTCTGCTGAATTTGAATCTCAAATCATTTTCAATCAACACCGTACTAAATAAATTAGTTAAAAAACACGCCAAAAGCTGGTGTGTCATTCAGTTTTTTACAGCTCCTGTAAATTTTAATTTTACGTAATTATGTCGTTTTGTTCGCCAGTTTCTCATATTTGATTTCATTAAAATTTTTAAAAAATTTTCGGCTCATCAGTCGTTTAGACTAGCATCTTAAAAAAAAAAGATTTTACCAAATAGCGAGCGAGTAAATTTCCTACAAATAAATTACTAATTATATCAATTTATTGGAAAAAAAAATATGAAAATAACTCACGCATTGTTTTTCACGGACAAAAACCTTTTTCTGAACTAAGATTAAAGTAAACACTTCGATTTTGGGAGTTCCATCTGTTTGATTGGGCAATAACCGAAGAAACGTGCGCCGTAGCCTGATCAATGCCTATTGGGATCGTACACCGAGCAAAGCCATAGACAAAACGGTTACGGGTTTTATTCAATACTTTTTTAGAATTCCATCTGAGCTGAGAGCTGTAGTAGTACGTTTTTATAAACAGAATTCTTTCGGCAACCCAAATTTAGTTTATGTTATTTTTCTATCATTTTACCGTGACAGTTTTTATTGGCTTTATTTCCAATATACCTACTAATCCCAAAATAGAAAGAGCTCTATCATTAAATGGGGAATCATACTCTAGTTCATTAAGCAATCTTTATTAATATTCCATACTTTACTGGATAAGGATTAACATGTGTGTCAGGACCAGGACGCACAACTTCTCCAAACCAATTCGAGCTATTTTAAATAAACATCAATGCTTTCGTAACTAAGATATACATTCAATGGGTTTAATCAAAAGAGCAAGTTGATTACCATACTCGTTGTTTTATATAATTGCTGGGGGCACATAATTCCTACGCAATTCCCGCCTTCTTGGAGACTCATTCGAAACGTATAACGTTATAACAACTTTTGTAAATACTTACATTTGAATTTCTAATTAAGGTATACCTTCTTGTTTACTTGTAAATATTGCGAGTTTTCATAATTCCTGACACTGCTACTGGTTTCGTTTAATAATATGAAATTTTTTGCTCTCCGCAATATGATTCTTGGGAATTTACCTTGAAGCTGTGAGAGAATATCGATGTGTGTGTAAGAAACGACTTCGACAACTTTTTTATTTCAGGAAAATTCGTTTAATGGGTTTCTCTTCTCCTCATCCAGTACTTTTAATTCTATTCTGACATACCAAGAGCTGTATCATGATCATTTACGGCGATATGAAAACAATAGTTGAAGCGGAATGGCAGCCCAGCAGCGCGACTTCTCGCGAAAACTAATATGAAATTGCATTGCGTAAAGGTTGTAGTTGCCGTTGAGCGGGCTTGCAGTGGTGGAGAAAAAAATTATCCACGTAGTGTGATTTCAAGATTGACTACAATTTTCTACTTTGCCTTGAGTGCGTACCATACAAAATTGGCTGCAATGTACCAGGGGATTTTAATGTTACCTGGTTATTACAATTTGGGATTTCATTTATTTACATTCGCCAGAATCTCAAAATTCTTGTGAATGAAACTATATACAATCTAAAATTTAACTCGTGACCAAATAAGAAGTTCAACTACATGGTGGCATAATGTGGTCCGCGTGATGGTAAGCGGCCAAAATAGCATGAGATACCATTTTATCACTAGCAAGCAACGTGCTACCCTAATTCCATTATTTTCTAACTCCACTTCAACCACGTGGAACTATGAAATCCTTAATTAAAAGTTATCTATATGGTGAACTAACTGTGCCCCGCGGTGTTACCAGCAGTTTATTAGGGATATTTTCCCATAGTAAAACGTGGCCTATGTATTAAAACATGGTGTCAGCTAACTCCATACCAAATTTTAGTAAAATCGTTCTAGCGGTTTAGACGCGAAGAAGTAACAAACATACACTGACACTTACAAACTTTCGCCTTAATAATATTAGTGTCATAAGATGTGGAGTGCTATCTATTGACGGTTAGGGCTTTGCTGAGGTTAACGCTTTGTTAATATAAATTAAATATACTGAATAAAATCACATGGTCCGTTTCAAGGTAATTTTACTAAGTGAGTAGTGTGCGGGCGGACAGAAACAATCATTTCACGGTATTTACCTACAGGATAAAGTTTATTGGGTTGGTCGCTCCAATCCAAGTTATCTTCTGTTTTAATCGTCTAGAGAGGAGTGAACAGGTGGAACAGTAAACCTATTCTTAACCACAAACGGCACTAACTTTACGACGGGCCTCCCCAATAGCTTTAGTCCTCTAATTACTAGTTGAATCAACTCCACATCGCTAAGTGCTTGCAGGCGTTTATAAGTGCGAAAACAACCTTGAATCAAAGAACCTTGGTATTTCCAGCCTTATGGTCGCAGCAGACATATCAACTCGTATATGAATCGTCACCGTATCAACTCGAGAAGATTACGTTACGATTTTGATTAGTGTTTAGTTACAGGAAGTTCCATACAAAAAATACTGAATGGTTTAAGTTGATACGGTGATGTGTCTTTTAAGGTTGATATGTCTGCTATACCCTTTAGAATTATATTGGTTCATTTTTACGGTGGACAAAACGTCAGATATATTTATTTGGCGTCCCAATACTGATTAATGGAATTTCGATGTTAATTTATGGTGATTTTGTTCAGATTTATCTTTACCTTCATCCCAAAATTTGGCAGGTGCCAAATTAAGAAAATTCAACTCTCGTTTCTCGTTTTCGTTTTATTAATTTATACTTGTTGCGTGAATAAATTGTTTTAACTTTAAGCTAAATACCTTTTTCAAAAATAATTACAATTGAGAATTTACGTAGGAATCGAGTTAGCTAAAAAAAACACATTTTTAAAAGAATTTTACATAAATGTCTTATCGCTATATTTACCAAAAATGTAAGCTTCGCGTTTAAGTTTAAGTCTCTGTACTTTGAATAATTTTGCAAAAAAGCAGTTTAGGGAACTTTTATTAAGTAGTAGAACACATTTATATCATTTTTAGAACTTTTATCTTTCGTTTTTTTGTCGTTTATCTGTATGTTTGTTATCGCATAAAACCAAAACTGCTGAATCAAATGCAATAAATTGAAAATATATTTATAGAGTGTATCTCTGGGTAACATTAAATCTTTATTTCATTTAAATCGGTGCACTCTATCCAAAGTTATTACAATTTAAAGCCACACAGTAGTACGGTAATGTGATTTCATACAACATTTAACTGTCAGCACTGATAACAGATGGGGTCGATTGATGTCACGCTTTGCTAAACATGTCCAAGATTTGGTCGTGTTTGAATGCGATGAGATTTCAAAAAACGCCCCTGTTTGCAAAGTCTTCATTGCGGGGATGGATCTCAGTGTTGGTTTGTTTTTCAATGGCCAAAAGGACCTTTGTACCCTTTTGCGTAAAAATAGCCCCAGGAATATTTAAGTGAAAGTTATAGATAATTTGACATCTGCAAGCAAAGCTCTGCACTTAACCAGAAAAATCAAGGAACCTATGTTGTTATTTTCCGACATCCATACGTACAAAGTCACGGGCACAACTAGTTACGTTAATAAATTGAGAAATGTATTCTATTTTAGTAAATTAAAATGAGTACTAATAAGTTGTTCAAGGCTTTTAGAGTCCTCATGAATAACTACTCCGTGACACTATTAAACTATTAGAATGTTAAACTCAACAGTTTACTCATTTTCAACGAGTATGTGATAAACAAGAATTTTCTATTTAAACAGGAACGCAAGCAATAATATATTCAAACAGCCTATATCCGAATGGCACGACGCGGGGTGTGCGTCCAATTCACTAAGATACCGGGTCATTGCACCTTGTAATAGTCTTCTCACCAACGACCCAATTTTCCATAACAAAGTAGGCCACTCGTACTGTTTGTTGTTACCCATTCCTGACGGAATCTTTTGACTGCCTTTATGAGCAATTTCGTTAGACCATCATTTGTTTTTCTAGGCACTCTTCTCGAATGAAGAACTGGCGTGTTGCTGATTAATTACATTGAGTGACTTTACTTTTTTGTTTATAATTTAATTATACGCATAATCCGCTGAACTAATTTTGAAATTTATTTAAGATATTTTTACTTGTAAAGTTTTCTTTAGATTTAAACATCTAGCAATTAATAAATATAATGATTTTGATGAGTATTGGTAAAGAACAAATTAAAAGTTGAAGGGAAAAATAAAATGGCGGATGAAATTTGTACAGAAAAAAAAATTTTTTGCAAAAAGAATTTGCAAATAGGTACCGCTTTAAATACTCATAATAACTATAAATTTAACCAAATGAAATGTAAAATAGGGGTATGAAAAAAATGGCCGATTCAAAAAAGTAGCCTATTAAGCATGCAATTTAAAAAATAAAAGTTTGACCCACTTTGTTGGGTGCGTAGCAGTACATCAAAAATATGAAGAGACAGAAAAATAAGTACTCAACAACATGTATCAGTCTGTTTCGCAGAGCAAGGGAGGTTGGTTCGATCCTAGCCAGATCTATAGGCCGATGTAATAATTACTTCTGGTAAAATGCTGCAATTTAGTCGTAACACGCTAAAGACAAAAACATGTTTCATGAAATTTAATTCTTAATTGTGAATGATGAGATTGTTTTCCGGAAGTTCGTCATATTGAAAAAACCTTATCTCGGAATGCTTAGGGAGAGAAAGCGAGGCAGCAGGATTTATCGATCCTACAAACAAAACGGATAGACAAAACACAAGAACTGAAGTTTCTTATGTTTAACGGAGTTTGACAGTTTTATAACTTCCCTGCGGCATCTCTAACAAAGTAGGTAGGGACCTGTTCTTCACAGAAACCTGTCTGCTTTCAGTTTTGCTTAGTTTTGTCTTTAGTAATACGATTAAACGCTTTCGGTTTTGCTAAATTCGAGGTGGTAGATAGTGTTAGACGAAATAACAGGACTTTAATCGATTAGCAACGTCCCTATTGTTCGGTAGCACCAGTTGTCAAAATGAATAAGTGCATTAGTGCAGATATGATTGGGGATTCCCCGCTAATGCGCGAGCGCGTGGCATTCTGTGTATTGTAATCTTGTGATGTAGATATGTCTATTTAAAAAAGTTAATTTCTTAACCGAGTTTTATCTAACAGTAGGTACCTATAAAATCATAACGGGAGGAAAAAAACGACGGGTTGCACTCCGTGAGTGCCGGCAGAAGTGAAAACTGGAATATTAACGTTGTGCATTTTTGATATTTTGGAATGGTTAGGGAATAATTTTGCAGGAATTGCTTTAATTATCAATATAAAAGTACTATCATTTACGTAGAAGATACAATATTTATTTATTGCGCTATCGTACACAAATATGACAATTTATATTACATTAAAAAAGTTTATCTCTCAGAAATGAATCACGTTTAAGCGCACCTGTCGCTAGGTATCTGTTACACAAAAAAATGCATTTTCTTCGCAATAAAGCTGACACCTGGACGTCCTAGATAGAGACTTATTATTATAATACGTTAAAATAAAATATTACTATGTTTCGTCCAATATATTGAAAGTCAACAATCTTTCCAATTTTATTGTTTTCGTCAGTTCCCCGATCAGGCCACGTGTCATGACGCGATCAGCCAACGTGTCCTGACGCGAGTTTAACGTTTTTTACCCATACAAAAAAGTGTACAACGCCGCTAAAGAAGTTTTCGCTACGAAAAAAAGCAAGTAAAGAGGGCGTCAATCGATAATACATTCAAGGTGTCGTAAGTTAATATTGACAGGACTTGTGACAATGTAGCAATAAAACGGATGATCGGAACGCGAGAGTATCCAGTAACGTGACCGTAATTTTACTTCTGAATGTGATTTGAGCATGGGCAAAAGTGCTTTGCTGGCTGGCTATCAACGGTTTTTCTCCGGACGAAGTTTTACGGAGTTACGGCAACTTTTTTTTGCCGACCACAAGATCAAGTGAACTCTCTTTACATTCTTCTTTTGGATAAAGAACTTTTTTCAATTCAACTAAAAGCTCACTTTTACATAAACTTTTATTTAGTAGTAATTGAATTATTATTTGCAAGGCTCATATAGTTGCTAAAGGTGTTGTCCAAGAAGTTACTGTCAAGATCGCTAAGGAACTTCTTTCGTGAAAAACACTCACGGGAATCCATGTATTGTCAATATCAAAATGAACACACTAACGTAGCTATGACTGCATCCTAAAATATAGTAATTTTACATAGGTGGAGCTTTATTACGTGCATGAAAAGAAAGATATTTAAGTAGATAGGATTAAGGAGAACCTGTTTAAATTATCTTTTCTAATATCATTGTATTTTGAACTATGCGAAGGGCTCGCACTCTGAACTCGTTTAGGGATCAAGCTCGGAGTTATTATCTAATCCCAAAAGTGATGTAAAAAAATCTTTCATCCTCTCTCTTCCCTTCCTTAGATATATCTGTTTTCCTGCCATTCATATTATTATTATATTCTATAACACCCCTCCTTTTCTCCTTCATATTTATTTATCTTTCTATTATGGGTTGCTTGGAAGAGTTTGCTGCCTAGCAATAAGGCCGCCTATATTGTATACGTTCTATCTATCATGTTTTTTAATTTACTTGTGTGTCTTGTATGGTTTATTACAATAAAGAATATTATTATTATTAGTACAAAATATTTCATCAAATTTGGAAACTGCACCATTTCTAGTGATCACCTTATTGATCGTGCTAACCTTTTTTATGTTGAGTAAAGAGTGAAAAATAGCGACCGATGGTAAGTCGCTTCCACCAAAAGGTAGTGTTATTTATTGCGATCTTCTGTAAGGTGGAGGTTACTTCCCCAGATGGGCGCTCCAATTCGAGCGGAAAGTCCGCTATGCCCTACCTCTCTTAAAAATTGTGTGGTATTTGCTAAGTAAATAGTTGTTATTGATATTGTAATACCTAACATATTGCTTTACACGAACAGCAAGTTGCTAACTTAAAAAAACGACAGTCGCTTGGTTTTGTTCATAGTAATAAAAATAGGAGACGCGTAGCTTAATAAGCTTACGTCTTGGACATAATTATTCGAACGGCCTTTAAGAAACGGCAATTAATTTTTAATTATTATGAAAGTTGGTGCTGTCTCTTTCTTTGAGATAACAATTCAAATTCAAATTTATTTATTGCACTCATGTGGTTATTAAAGATGTTACATAAAAACATAGAAACAGACACATGAACCCTGATAGGGTATCACAATTTATAATAAAATGTCCTTTATTAAAGGAAATCAAATAACTCAATTAAATTAATATTAACTTGAACATATTATTAGTAACTAATAAAATCACAAATAGCATTCATTGAAAATAATAATACTAATTTCAAATAAAATAACATTACGTAGGAAAATTAACAAAAAATAAGGTCTTACTTAAATTATCTGGGTACAACTAAAATTGAAGAACTCTTGTATCGAATAAAAACTGGTCTTTGATCAAAATGACTTAAGTAATAAGATAATAGAAAGAGACAACATGTGACTTGATGAAGTATTAAAATTTCACTTCTCTAATTACGGCCGTGAGCCGTTAATGTAACATTAATGATTCGAAATATTTACGTGCCAAGCAAATTTTTAAAACTTGCCTGGAAATTGGTAATATACGGATTGCTTCATTAAGCCGTATTTGAAGCGTGCCGCTTCCTTGCGGTATTTTAATTAAAGCAGGTGCTCTATGACAGACTAGCGAGAAATCAGATGAAAATTTTAGTTGCCTGCCAATGCCAAACTATGTTATTGGTCGCGCCGGCATGGTACGCATTGCTTTCGAACGAAAACAGAAAGAAACTGCATGCGGAACAGAATACTACTTTGCGTACCATAACAAACGCCGACCACTACGTGAGAAATACAACCATACAGCGAGACCTAAAAATAGAAAGCCTTAATGATTTTATTTGCAGACTCACATCGAACCTGTTCAGAAGGGCGGACCACTCGGCGCACGCGCACTTGCGCGAATTCGCGCCAGTGCACGAACGCCCTCTAGCGGATCGACGAAGCAAAGCGCTCCCGAGGGAGCTCATACCAACCTGACGACGGCCCCCGCTCGCAGGACGACGAGCGGGCCCACAAGCAGAAGACGTAATCTAACCTGACTATGACAGCATGAGAAAAAAAAAATATATACATATACATGAACCCCGACCGACTTGACTCCTGCAAACACTAGACTACCTCAAAACCCACGCACAGACAGACCCTATTTCTTTCCCCACCCAAGTCCACCGCCTGCTCGCTGGTCGCTCACTGGGCCTCCCACAAGGGTCTCAACCGGTGGGCTTGACCGCGCCGAGGGCGGTGGTGAAGAGGGGGACAAGAAATAGACACCAAGGACCGACCCGATTGTAATCGGGCCGCGAACCCGCCACGTCCGAAGTAGTTATTCAACTAGAACGGATTCCCCGCACGCCGCGGCGCCTCCGGCGCCAGCGACGCGCGAGACGATGAAGAAAGTGTTATTGGCCTTTCATGAGTTCCGGGTAGGTTGTATCTTAACTGGTGTGGTTTTTCACATAATCGATGGTAGATATTAAAATGTTCACTCATAATCTTAATTTCCTTATAATCTAAATCTTAATTTCCTTCCCTTTCTGTTTCATATAATTTTCACCGTGATTTTGAGTTATACTCAGGTTATATCTAAGTACTAGCTAATTCATAGAAGGATTTAGTTTATATTTCCACAAAATAACCTTAACAATTTTAATTGGTCATAAACTGATTTAAATAAACGTACTTATAGGATATACGTACTTTAAACGGACAATAATTCCATAATAGGTCAGTTACTTACTAATTTGCACTATTTTAGGATATTTTATTGAAGACATAAAATTTTTATGAGGGGGTATAGTAACTTTACTGTTTATACAATTTTTATTTACACGACTTTTAAGTTTTTTAGGTAACTGAAAAATTAACGGTGTAAGTATCTATATTATTAAACACTCAATATTTATATTGGTAGTCAGACTTTTTATGCTGAAGTTTCTCGTCGTAACCAATTCCTTTACGGAGCGAGCAAAATTTTCATTGACCAGTTGTGCATAACAATATCTAGGTAGATAAAAAAGTTTTTATACTTAATTATTCTCAGCAGGCTAAAGTTACTTTTGCATACTTTCACAGACGTATGTATAAAGGTTTTGTTAAGTCTCCTTTACATTTTGATTGTGACTTATCAATATTTGATAACGACCTACTTCGCCTCGGAATATTATTTAACTTTAACATTGTTTTACTTGACAAAGGAAACGTTTTAATCTTTAATGACATGACCAACTGAAGGTAAAAGTACAAAGACTTAGACTGGCACTTTAGAAATTAGAAAGTTGGTCAGCGTCGGAGGCAAATCCCTCTCGCTTGGCTCTCATTTAATGTCATTTTAGACAATGTTTTATATTGCAGGCGATAATCAGTCTGAGCTTAAACTGTAGGTAATAAGATATTGTGTAGTTTCAAGTGCGCTGTCCAGTTAGACTCTGTGGCAGTCTCGATATTGCACGCTGATTATCGTGTAATGGTTTAATAGATCAAATGAGTTTTTATTGCTCTCTGCCTACCCTACCCTAGCCACGGTGTAAAAATGGATTTGATAAACCTACACGGTATTTTGACAGAAACGTTCTGTCAACTTTTCTATTTTTGAATATAATTTACTTTACAATGTCACTTGTCTGCCTTGTCTGTCTGTCTCTCGTCTGTTGTGTGTTCATATTATATTTTATTTAAACTATCTTTTCTCTATATTTTATTTATATCTTCCACTCTGCTGCTGCTACTACTACAGGATTGACTACTTACATAGCACTGCTCGCTCGCCTGTGCAAGAGCTGCAGTAGACTGCCGTCCGCTGCGGAGGAGCAGAGGCTGCGTGAGCGAGCCCTTCGCTCGCCCTCCCTGTCCGCTCGCTGCCCGCGCTCGCGCCACCGCGCCATCAGCGACTCCAGGCACAGCATGGCGCTACCATCGCACACCATCCGCGCCACCGCTCACACCCTCACACATTCCATACCGGGTCAAATGTCAAAATAACCATTTCAAATGACCCGACGCTATTGCGACCGGTCACGCTACACTCTAGTCATTAGTCTCCGTAAAAAAGTTTATTGTTCATAAACTACTTTTACAAGCAAAAAATGTCGCGTTTCTACAAAATAGGTTTGATCACAATACATCGAGGAGTTTTGAAACTTTAATACGCTCAACCAGTTAATTCTAGGGACAAAACACAAATATCCATGATTAAGAAAGTTTTGGCATACTATTATACATCACTTAAGTAACACTCCGCGAAGTTAAACGCCACTTATCGCGTTGGGCATACGGTCGGCTTACACCGGGGAACAATCACATTAGTAAACGGGGGCAAACTCGTTACATCACGCGACCTCAGGCCTGCCGTAGCATGTCTACTGTTTTGACAAGGTTAGATAACGTTTGAACGCAATCTAACGGCGGAGACGATGATTAAGCAAGTGCGGTGTGCTTGTGGAAGTTGTTTGTTTTCGTTTCCCGCCGATCGGAGGTTTGTGGTAGGCGGGCGAGACGCATCGCCGGCGGCCGATGCTACGTGACTGAAGAACGTGACTGAAGCGAGCAGAGCCTCAACAGTGCTACCCTGTACCACGGCGCATATGCGCGGAGTGGCCGACTAGGATTTGAAAAAGTTTCCGTCGTTGAAGTGACGAAGTTAAGTGAATGTTGATATCCGGACTGAAGTATCACTAGCTATCTTGCGCCGTTTAGTGTTGCAGAGCTCTTAACCGGGATTCCGCCGTAGGTTACTGGAACTAGGTTACTTATAATTGTACTTCATACGTTACTTTTCGTTCGTATAATAAACTTGGTAGGATATTTTGGTACATTGACTAGGAACAATAGGAGAATTTAATTGTATTTCTAAGTTTAATAGTCAGCAGGTATAATCCTACCGATGTACTATCAGATAGACATAATTGACATAAATAGTCACGGTACTTTGGTTAGGTAGACTTTTTTTTATTAATCAAAACGTCAATTAGTTTAGCCCCAAAAGCACTGTAAGGATACTAGGGATACTTGTATTATGTATACTAGGGTAAGGGATAGTATACTACACTGATACATACGTGGGACGCTCAGAAAGTTTTGAGAAACTAAAAAACTAACTTCTATGAAAAAATATTTTTATTAAATCTTTTCAAAGAACTCTCCACTTCTATACAAAGTTCATGCATCTGAACCAATTTTCAAAATATTTTTTCCAGTCCTCCGCAGACACCTCTTCCACGGCCTTCTCAAACGCGCCTAGCGCTTCTTCCAGCGATGAAATTGTATCCTTTTGAGCTGTTTTTTTATTTTAGGGAATAAAAAGAAATCACACGGAGGCAAATCAGAACTGTGAGGAGGGTGTCCCAAGACTTTGACTGGTGTGGAGTCCAGGAAGTCCTACGTTTTGATCGCAGAGGGCGCGGGCGCGTTGTCGTGGTGAAGAAGGACCCCGCCGAGCCCGGTGTTAGGTCGCTTGTTGCAGAAAAAACTTCTGGCAGGCATTTTGTGCTATACCATTCGACGTTGATGCTGCTTTGGTCTCCCAAAGCAAAGTGAAGAAACTAGCAATCAAAAATTTCCCTGGACTCCTCGATCGCTTCACTTACGTAGGTGTTTGTTCATTTTGAAACAGTCAAACTTTCGACTGACGCTTTGTTTCTGGATCGTATTGATAAATCCAGGATTCGTCATCTGTCACAATATCGTAAACGCGCCGTGACGAGCCTGCATCAAATTTTTGTATCATATCACTGCACCAATCCACACGGGCCTGATTTTGAGCTTCGGTGAGGTTGTGCGGTACCCAGCGGGAAACTATCCTCCTTACGCAAAGGTGCTCGTGCAAAATCTGGTGAACACTTCCTGAACCAATCTGCAGAGTATGCTGAATCTCTTCGTACGTAATTCGTCTGTTTTCTTGAATTATTTTTTTTACTGCCAGCACACTTTCTTCAGTGGCAGCCGTCGTCGGACGACCACTCCTTTATTCATCACCCAAGGTAAGACGACCGCGTTTGAACTCGCTACACCAGCGGTAGATAGTTGCTTTTGAAGGTCCTTCATCCATAAAAGCAGTTCGAAATCGATCGATGACTCATCAGGTTTTAAGCCACATTTAAAATCGTAAAAAATCATAGCACGAAAATGTTCTCGGTGCAGATCCATTTTGAATGCGACAAGAAAAAATTCATTGGCTCTCAAAAAAAATGCGGAGGGAAATTTGATAATCGAACAGTTGTATTTTTACTTCTAAATAATGGAAGTTTTCAAAATAATTACAAGAGGCCAGTGTCTTATACATAAAAACTTTTTTTCGCAAAACTTTCTGAGTGGCATGGTATATAGTATATTTATCTAATAATATATATAGACATCTATACTTTGCTCTACCAGGTCATCACATTAGAAGTTAGTGTTATTGCACTGTGGTCTTTATCATTATTAAGGTGAAGAGTCGTTCCCTAGATGGGCGCTTCCATCGAACGGGAAATCCGCTATGACCTACCTACCCCATGTAACTTACAAATAATTTCCTAAGGATCGAATACCACCGGATCGTCCTCAAAGCTACTTTGTCAAAGCAGACTTTGAACATATCAACGCAGCATAAGATAATAAATTCAAATTCAAATTCAAATTCAAACTCATTTATTCAGTCTAGGCTGTTACAAGCTCTTGTGAAAGTCAAACGCTACGCCATCGGTTCGTAAATCTACGGCGGGAGACCTTGTACTGAGAAGAACCGGCAAGAAACTCAGCAAGGGCTATTTTTTTCTCCCTGTTTTGTTTCACACAGTGTCGTCAATTGAAAGATGACATCAAAAATTGAATACATGTGTTGATGTCAACTTCCATCACATTAATATTATTAATTAACAAAAGTTAAGTATAACTAGGTACTATTTTTAAATTTAGAAGTGGCGATTAAACAATTTTCAACCAAATTAGCAAAGTAAAAAGACAGTCTATTATGTTAAGCCCAAGGTGACTTATCATTTATGAAATCTTTTACAGTATAGTAACCTTTCTTAAGGAGACATGTTTTTATACACACTTTAAACTTATTAAAAGGTAAATTAATTATTTCTTTTGGTATTTTATTATAGTAACATATACCTTGACCCACAAATGAACCAAGAACCTTTTGGAGTCTCAATGGTGGCAATTTGAGTTTATCTTTATTTCTGGTATTGAAATTATGTACATCATCGCGCCTCGTATATAAATTTATGTTCTGACGCACAAACAATATACAATTGTAAATGTATTGAGAGGCAACAGTCATTATACCTATTTCTTTAAATTTATCCCTAAGAGAAGTTCGAGATCCCAAGCGGTAAATGGCTCTTATAGCTCGTTTTTGAAGAATAAAAACTGTTTCAATGTCTGCGGCCGTGCCCCATAATAGAATGCCATATGACATAATGCTGTGAAAGTAGCTGAAGTATATTGTCCTAGCAGTGTCGACATCTGTAAGCCGTCTTATTTTATAAATTGCATAAGCAGCAGAACTTAGTTTACCGGCTAGTGTTGTAATGTGAGGGTTCCATTGAAGTTTGTGGTCTAGTGTTACGCCTAAGAAAACGGTTGTATCGACTAAAATTAGTTTTTCACCATTTAGAATTATATCCCCCATTTCAACATGCTTTACATTCGGCAAAGTAAATTTCACACATTTAGTTTTGCTCGCATTCAGTTTAAGATTATTAGAAGAGAACCAGTGAAGTACCTTGGAAAGTGCATTGTTTACATCGTCATAATTTGTTTTACACCTGTCAACGTTAAAAATTAGCGAGGTGTCATCTGCAAACAAAACAATTTCACAAAAATTTTCTACAAAGAAAGGTAAATCATTAATGTAAATTAAAAAAAGAAATGGACCTAAAATTGAACCCTGAGGAACGCCTATTTTCACATGAGATCCGGCTGATTTTGTACCGTTAATATCAACTATTTGTGTCCTTTCTGTTAAATATGATTGCACTAATTTTTGTGCGGAATCTTTTATGCCGTAATGATTTAATTTCCGTAACAAAGTTTGATGATTAACGCAATCAAACGCTTTAGATAAATCGCAGAAAACCCCAAGAGCATTCTGCGACTTTTCCCAAGCATTAAATATATATTTTAGCATAGTGGCCCCAGCATCAGTCGTGGAACGGTTTTTAGTGAAACCGTACTGCGCTCTGTGTAAAAGTTTATTAATGTTAAAATGAGTCAACAATTGTTCTAACATTATTTTTTCAAAGATTTTACTCAATGCTGGTAATATAGATATTGGCCTATAGTTGCTAGGATCTTTACAATTTCCAGACTTAAATAAAGGTATGATTTTACTGAATTTCATAAGATCAGGGAATACTCCCTGATCTATACATGAATTAAAAATATCAGCTAGGTAAGGGGCTATAGAATGTATAATATTATTTATGACTTTGACAGATATACCCCATAAATCAGATGCATTTTTCATTTTTAAAGAATGGAAAACTTTAATTATTTTAAAAGAACTAACGTGCTTGAAATTAAATAATAAACCACACGGAGGTACATATTTTTGTAACAGAGCTGTAGCAGTATCAGACGATGAGTCCAAGTTGGAAGTAGTTTCTAATGGTATATTCATAAAAAAATTATCGAAAATATCTGCGACTTCATGTTTCGATTTTACGAGATTATTATTGATTTTAAGAACCATGCTATTTTCACGAGGCTTACACTTGCCACTTTCGCGCTTAATGATATCCCAAGTGGTCTTTATTTTATTACTAGATTTTTTAATTTTATCCCTAATAAAATTGGACTTTGCAGTATTACATATGCTTTTAAACAATTTGGAATATTTTCTAACATAGTTAATAAACTCAGGATCCTGGTTATATTCTTTGATTCTATAAAGCTCATACAGCCTTGTTCTACTCTTATATATACCACTTGTCGCCCAGTC